AGTGATTTATTCAAACAACTAATTTTACTGATTGTTAGACTAATTTCATGGAAATTGACCAATCACTTCAGCTAAACCCATTGATCTGGTTGTAGAGGTAGACACAACCTTTGTCTAACAGTGGGAAAGAAGAGCTAATTTGGACATTTTCCTCAGGGAAGTGGTATCAAACATGTAAATCCTGGCTTTCAGAAGCAGGATAATAGTAACTTCACTAGCACGTTAAGGCTTTTGTCATGGTGTACTGAGTAGAGTCGTTGTATTTAAGGATAACTAAGCATAAACAGCTACAGAACAAAATGCAGGGGAGGAAGTGTGGACTGAAACTATTTTTTTAATTTGTTAAAAAAGATTTATTTATGCATACAAGAGCTGGGGTACAGGCCAGAGGTGTGGGGGTGAGACGATTCACCAGAGAGAAAGTGGGGAACAGAACAGGCAGACTAACTGAAACACTGCTGAGGGGAGCAGCAGGCATGACAGGAGAGGTCTGCTTCGCCATGTGGGTTGCTCCCTGGACAGCCAGGAATTGAACTCGTGCTGCAGAGGCTGACAAGAGCTTGATAGTGCTGTCTTTAACCCCTGTGCTACCAGGGAGGCCCCAAGGACTAAACCTTTAGTACCAAACTGCATCCCCTTGCTCCCATTCTTTCAATCAAAACATGAAGCTAGTGCAGAAAATTTTAAGAAAATCACAGACCCCAATTAGTACTTCTAAAGGCCCAGAATAAGTTTTCTAATAAAATTGTAAATCTTCATTCTGTTATTCATGGGGCTGGGTATTCATAGTTCTTTCCTTTATTTCTCAAAGAGTAACTGAATTTCAGATGAGCTTAAAAAAAATAAAAAAGGAAAAGAATAAAGAAATGAGCTTTCCTGCCCATGGCAGCATGTGCTCTAGCTAATCTGCAAATGCTATAATTATTCTGGGTGCTGATAGATTTGTCTCTGGGCTGGTGGTCAGGATCCAGATGAACTGCTGCAGTTGCTGCTTTATCATCACAAATGTTCTTCACTTCTCTGCAATTCCCAGGCCTAGACATGATATCGGAATTTAATGAGGCTCCACACCCATACATCTCATTGGGATGTGTTGGGGTAAGTGCAAGTTCATCCCCTTTCATTGAAAGGTTTAAGGAGAAATTATATGTATGTGGAATGTCCTACAGGGATCATATTTAAACTGGATGTTTGCCACAGTCACTCCCATTTACTTAGAAACTTTAGCTTAGTTAATTAATGTGTAATCAAAGAGGCCAAAACAATAGATTCAGTACTGAGCATTTTTTACCTGTATCCTACCTACAATTTATACCTGTCTTCCTATATGTCCTACAAATGGAGGCGTTTGGTCACAGGGAGACACCAGATGAGACCATGTAAGTTTCAAAACTTCATCTCTAAATTGGTCATAATTATAGCTATCTTTCTTATCTTCCAAGGTCATTGTATACATTACATGAGCTGATATATCTGAGAGTGCTTTGAAAATTATGAACCACTTATAAATTTAAGATGCTTAAAACTGTCATTAATAGTAATAAATGTCACTTCAGTTATTGGCATTTAAAAGAATAAGATGAGAGTAAATACATCCATAGTCTGTGGCAGGGGGTAGGGGTAGGGGACAACAATGACTCCTAATTCATATCCTGGTTAAAGTTGGACAAGATACTCATCTTTGAACATGGAATACATTGCTTTCAATTGTTTCCCACCTATCACATTCCAGTTAATTTAATTGTAGGAAGACATATTCGAAGATAAGATTAAGAATTATTTCCAGCCAGCTAAGTATCTATAACCTGACTGTATAAAGTGAAGTGACAAATTCTACAGGAAACCAAAAATAGTCTTTATAAATATAATATCGGAGACTGCATTTTACTTAATTTTAATGCTATTCATTATTTGAATACATAGTGTATCTTGCTTTTCAAAATTACAAAAGGTAGGGCCTCCCCTGGTGGCGCAGGCGGTTGAGCGCAGTGCTGTGAAGCTGTCTGCAGCCTCTGCAGCTCAGGTTCGATCCCAGCCAGTGAGGGTCCCACATGGCGTGGCAGACCTCTCCTATCACACCCACTGCTCCCATCAGCAGTGTATTTCATCAGCCTGCCTGTTCTGCTCCCCACTCTGTCTCTGGTGAATCCTCTCTCCCTCCCATGAATCTGGCCTATACCCTGGTTCTTGTATAAATAAATAAATAAATCTTTAAAAAAAATGTACAAAAGGTATAAGGTAAAAATTACATCTTCCTATGCCTGCCTGTATTACCCTTCTACTAATATCTAAAAAACCCTCAGCTATTCAGTTCCTCTCCTCAGAAGAAATCAGTTACCAGTTTCACATGTATCCATCCCAGAGCTATTCCATTCCTATAGAAATTTATATAAAATAATTCCTTACACAAATATATATATCCCATACTTATACAAAGATTTATTAAATATTTGATACACACTTATAAATGTAATTTTTTTAATGCAAGGGATAGTATTCTGTGCATACTATTTGGAAACTTGCTTTCTCATTGAACAATATATCTGCGAGATAGTTTCATAATAGATAGACATGTTTACCTAATTCTTCTAAATAGCTGCATGATAATATATCAGTATGTGGAAGTACCATAATGTTACTTAATCTACCCATGTTTATTGTGATTATTTCTCAATATTTTGCTGTTAAAAACAACTACAAAGTTGAACATCTGTTACAACTGGATTTTGAATCCAAATTTTCAAATTTTGTTTAAGTATATCCTTTATGTTTCAAATAGCAAATATTAGATTTTTTTAAAGATTTATTTATTTATTTATTTATTTATTTATTTATTTATTTATTTATTTATTTATTTATTTATTTATTTATTTATACAAGCACTGGGTACAGTCAGAAGCGCAGGAAGGTGAGAGGATTCACCAGAACCAGAGCCGGGAACAGAACAGGCAGACGGACCGAAATACACTGCTGAGGGGAGCAGCGGGCCGCAGGAGAGGTCTGAGCGTCATGTAGGACCCTCACCCGGCGGCCGGGGATTGAACTGGCGCTGAGGAGGCTGCGGGCAGCTTCGCAACCCAGCGCTCAACCGCAGCGCCACCATGGAGGCCCCCAAATATTAGATTATTAAGAGTAAAGTAATTTGGAATTGAAGACTGTCAACAATATATTTATCTATATTATGTGCTAATCAGCTTAACTTAAAAACATTGTTTGATTTCACAGGGCAAGCTGTGTTTTAGGTCTTCAGTAAAGATTTGTTGGAAAAATGAAAATAATTATTTCACTAAAATTTTCAAGCAGTTTGCATGTTTGGAGGATGAATGTGATATTACATAAAAGTCTTTTGTAAGTGAATTTGTGATGTATTTGTTTACTATCAACAACCATTTTAGGATTCTCCCCAAATTTGCATATTTCCCTAAATTTGCCTGTGATATAATTACCTTTTCTGTTTTTCATCTAAACATCCTCGCAAATATGAGATGAACTTCTCTCTGGTCAACAGGGAATTCCGAAGCCATTTAATTAGGGATGGTTGAATGATTCTCTCTTTTCCATTCAGCTCTATGCTATGTCTCCTATGAATTACCCAGAAGTATAAAACATTGCCTTTAGTAGGTAGAAGTCTACTTGGACAGCTGAAGCAAAACAAATGCAGAAACAATGAAAAGGAATTCAGAATATAAATAGTAGCTTGAAATAAAGGTTGTGGTCAAGTATCATGCATATGTGATCTTCCTCTCATTTCTTTCTTTTAGATACTGCTCAAATTTGCCTCCATTTTTTTCCTCTTCTAACTCTCCACCATCCGACTCCATGTGTCACCACTGCAGTGTTGTTATTGTGTCTCCTTAATTTTTTTTTTTCTCTTTCAGCTCATCCTACGTATCAAGGCAAGCATTAGATTGCCTTTCCCCTCAGCCTTTCTTGTTATTCATGTAATCTACTGTGGCCTTCTAGTTGTCCATATCATATATAAACTCCTCTACATGTTTCTCAAGATTCTCTTAATTGAGCTCTATCATATTTCATTTGCAGTTATTCCATATCACAAATAATTTTCTCTTATCCCATCCACCCCATCCCACCCAATTCCTCCAGATCCTTCTTCTCTAGGCACATTATGCTTGTTAAGTTCTATCTCTTTCCCTCATTTTGTATGTTAATTTTCCCCACATTTCTCCTTCCTTATCTTCTGTCTTCCCAAATCTCCTCCAATTCTTATAGTCTATGTGGAGAACTATTTCCTCCATAAAATGTTCCCTGACCTTGCCAGTCAATATCGATCCTCTCCTTTTTCCATTTATTTACCACATACAGCATTTTAGCTCAAGTGCTACAATTTTTCACAGCATTGTGTTCTTCGTTCTTTTATCTTTTTTTTTTTTTATTACCAGTTTTGTGTTCATAGTCCTACATTGTAAATTAAAGCCAAGTAGAAAGACTTTGCTCCCTTCTCCCTTAGCATTTAAAACAGGACTTGGTGAACAAAAGATGTACAATCAGTACTTTTGATCAATTATCCTAATAAAGGTTTTGGTGATTTGTTATGTTTTGGAGGCTGAAATGGAAGGTGGGGGTGATTCATAGGTGAAGAAGGTTCAGTCTTCTAGAAATGTTCATTACAGATATATTTCATAAAAAGTATTTACTACCACAAAGTAGATATGAGGACTTAATGTTTCTCTGATTATACATTTTAAATCTATTCTTTATTATACTCCCAAGCTTATAAACACCAATCAAAATAGCTTATTTATTTGCTCTTGTTGGAAAGTGTAACTGTCAAAATGGCCTATTTATAGTGAATCAATGGTGCTCTTTTGCTGGGAAATGGATATTGTATGGATAGCCTAACAACTCAAGTAGGAATGCTGTCTAATAAATGTTTACATGCCATCAAGTCTACAAACATTAGATATAATACACGATAGAATCTTTCCTATCCTGTAATTTATCTCAATTTTTCCATTACCCTCTTTCATTTTCTCTTCCAGCTTTACTCACAGACAAGCCTCCCAAACCATTGTTCCCCATGGAGAATCAGCCAAGTGTTATAGATGTCCAGCTGGGTAAGTCCCCTTCTGGGAATAATAGATCCTAAACTTGCTCTCTGTTAACAGATGGGGGAAATTGCATGAACCAAGAAAGGTTTATTGCCACTGTTATTACATGCAAATCAACTTGTGTGTGCTCATTTATAACCCTGGAGTTCAGAGCAATAACAGTTTAAGGAAATGAGTTTGTATTGCATCAAGGAATGGTAATACTAATTGGTTACACTGGGTATTAAGTGTGCTGTAGGACAAAGCTTTTTAACTCTCTGATTGATAGATTTGTGGGTGTTGTGCATCGGTGATTGGCACAAAAACTTACCATACTTGTTAGTCAAAAATTTTTATTTAGAGAACATTAACTCCTCAAGAACAAGCACATTTTCAAATAAAAGAATCCTTCAATACATCCCTTAAAAATGATTTGGTAATATTATTTCCATTGGCACAATCCAGGACCATTTAAAACTTGCTTTTAGGTTGAGATCCTGAATATTTATGAATCATACGGTGCTGGGAATGTTAACAAGTTTATTCATGGATGATACTGTCCTTTTAAAGACTCAAATAAGGACACCAAGATGTTGAGTTTCCTTTTTGAGTCCCTTACCTCTAATTCTTGCATATTGAGGACTATAAGCTTAAGATTCAGAGACCTTGCTAGTATTTAAAACAGTGGCCTTAAATCTAAACCATGTCCTTTAACATCTGTGAACTTTAATCTGCCTGGGGTTTCATTCTGTTTTTCAGTTCTATGAATTTCCTCAACTCTAAACAAGATAACTGAGTAAATAATGCTGAAAATGTTAGTCTTCCTTTGGGTATATGATTTATTGAAATATACAACCATATGATACCTCCGATTATAGAGTCAGGGAAGATGAATTGGCCCCAATACTTCACTCACTTTGGAAGTTTTTGACTTAACTTTTGATCTTTCAAATATATCTTGGATTGTTATAGGCTTACTTCTATCTTGAAAATAGGTGAGAGAAAAATTGCTTTTCTAAGAGCTTATTTATTCTTCTAAAATTAAATATAGCATGTTATAGTTTTTAAATGCAGCCTAGCAGTACAATTGCACCAAAGTTAAGTATTTTAAAACAAAAAGAAGAGAAAACAAATATGCTGCCAAGAATGAGGAATGGAAATTGTGAATATTTTGTGGATAATGTTGAAGTATTATTTGGGCCTCCCTGGTGGTGCAAGGGTTAAGTCTCAGAGCTATCAAGCCATTGCCAGCCACTGAGGCTTGAGTTTGATCTCCCCCCAGGGAACTAACACATGGCACAGCAGACCTCTCCTGCCTCACCCACTGCTCCCCTCAGCAGTGTATTTCAGTAAATCTGTCTGTTTTGCTTCCCACTCTGTCTCTGGTAAATCCTTTGTCCCCCGCAGCTCTGTCCTGCACCCCAGTTTTTGTATGCATAAATAAGTAAAAAATAGATCTTTAAAAAATGTTGAAGTATTACACTATGACTCTACCCCAAAACCCCACCACTTGTATTATTTTGCAGGATGATTACATTTTGTTAATGTCAAACTTACATCTTTCCATCCATACCAGGATAAAAATACCTTAAGGGTACTCTGGTTTACTGAGAGTTCCATGTAGATATAAGATGATCTTGAATCATTTGTGTTTATGGATATTCAAGTGGGCATTTTTTAATGATAAACACTAAGGAGTAAATGCAAAATCCACACAACTATTTCAAATAGAACAGGAGTAAATTTTGTGTTCATGGCCCCTGTGTAGATATTTCTTCATTCTACTCTGCATTTAGGCCAAATTCAAAAGAAAAGTTTGAGGAATACTGTTCTAACAGTAAGGACAGAGACCCTCATAGGGAGAACATTTTCTTGAGGTTCATTGGGTGCTACACCTATAGTGCTACTCACAACATCTCTAAGGTGTGTGCTTGATATGTATTAGTATGTATTCCGCATAGGTACACCTGCCAAAATAAACCATCACCAACACCAGCCTTTTAAATTATTGAAATAATTTGCTTCCAATTTACATTAGATACAAGAATGACCTTCTTAGTTTTTAGTTTTTAACACAATTTGAAAGCAAGTTTATTGACAGAAAGATGGAGATATGCCCATTTTTCATCCCAGAAAGGCTGTTTATCTAAGGTGCTAAAGCAACCATTTAATTAAAAAAAAGAAAAGTAAATTCAGTTAAACCAAATCTTTGGCATTTCAAGAATCACATGACTGGTTAGTTTTAAGTGATTTTAATTTTTTTCACAGATTAATTTAGCACAGTTTATTCAAACTGGAAATCATTTTGCAATTTATTCTTAAACCTGAACAGTAAGGTGATATTAGGAGCACTATAAAGATCTCAGTGTCACTGGAAGCTATTCAGTCAGAATGATGAGGATTTAGAAAATGCAGGTATGAAACAAAATATAGAAAAAGATAATTGGGGCAGTTGAATTTCCATGTCTGTATCTGGAAACCTTTCAGAATTCAGTAAGACCATAAAAACTCCTGGATTTTTTTTTTTTTTAAGTTTGTTTAGCACATTCAGCTTTCAAACATTCTCAATGTGGAACTACAAAACACAAACTTTTCCAATCCAAATTGCTTAAGTACATTACTAAGATCAGATTTCACAAATCCCAATACTTAAAATTTGAGACAACGTATGGCAAATTATATTTGACCACAGATTTTTTGTTATGTCTACCATGAATCCCTTCCCCTGAATCTAGGTTGGCTTTATGGACTTGCTTGACCAATAGAATATAGCAAAAGTACTAACTCTGAAATTTTGGAAGCTGAACCAAAAGCAATTTTTTTTTTATTTTTTTCTCAAATGCTGTTGATTTTTCCCATCAAAAGCATAACTATATGCTTTGGGTCTACACCTTCACACCTCCATGTGTACATAGGCCTCAGTCATCCTTCACCCTGCTTCAGTGCCAATACTTGTCAGCTTCTCTATCCTATCACCTCTCTACCCCCATCCCCATCGCCTCTGGCAGCCAGTATATTTTTCAAGTCTATGAATTATACTTGTTGTGTTTGGAAAGTTTGTTTTCTTTAGATTTTTTTTTTAATTGAGGAAACATCGATATACAGCACTCTGCATAATTTAGAAGTATAGGATTATACCATTCCATTCAGATGTATGTAGTCACACTATACTCACCACCACCCCTCCTGTATTAATTCCTCCAACGTAGTCAGTTGTGCCCACTTCCAGCCCTGCTTTCCCTTCCCCCTTCCCCTCTGGTACTTCAATCCCACAGTTAGGTTTCTAGAGTTTGTTATTCACTTGATTTTATCTGACCCTTTGATTTATTTCTCTATATTCCACATATAAGTGAGACTATTCAATATTTGTCTTTTTCCTTCTGACTTATTTCACTTAGTATCCATGTTCCTGCAAGTGGGAAGACTTTATTTTTATAGCCGAGTAGTATTTCACTGTGTATGTATACCATATCTTCCTAATCCACTCATCTGTATGTGGGCAATTAGGTTGTTTCCATAGCTTGGTTTGAATTAATGTGTTTGCATTCTTTGTTTTTTAGATTTGTTTATTTATTTATTTATTTATTTATTTATTTATTTAAGCACTGGGTACAGTCAGAAGCACGGGAGGGTGAGAGAATTCACCAGGGTCAGAGTGGAGAGCAGAGCAGGCAGACTGACGAAATACACTGCTGAGGGGAGCAGCGAGCGGCAGAAGAGGTCTGTGCGCCATGTGGGAACCTCCTCCGGTGGCTGGGAAGCAGCCTGGGATCGAACCGGCATTACAGAGGCTGTGGGCATCTTTGCAACCCAGCGCTCAACCGCTGCGCCACTGGGGAGGCCCTGTGTTTGCATTCTTCAGGTAGATACTCAGGAGTAGAATTGCTGGATTATATGGTAGATCTATTTTTAATATTTTGAGAAATCTCCATACTGTTTTCCATAGGAACTATCCAATCTGCATTCCCACAGTGTATATAGGTTCCTTTTTTTCTACATCCTAACTAATAATTGTTCTTTCTGGTGTTTTTGATTTGGGTAATTCTCACAGGTAAGGGATGGTATCTCATTGTGGTTTTGATTTGCATTTCCCTGATGATAAGTGACGGTGAGCATTTTTTGATGTGCTTGTTGGTCATCTGTATGTCTTCTTTGGAACAGAGCCTATTTAGCTTTTTTGCTCATTTTTTAATCAGAGTTATTTGTTTTCTCATTGTTGAGTTTTATAAGTTCTTTATAGATATTGGATAGTTGCTGCTTATCAGATATGTAGTATGACCATATCTTCTCTCATTCAGTAGGAAATCTTTTTGTTTTGGTGATACTTTCTTTCACTGTGCAGAAATTTTTAATTCACTATAGTCACAAATATTTACATTTTCTTTTGTTTCTCTTGCTATTGGAAACAAATCCACAAAGACATCATTGAAACCTGTGTCACGGAGTGTTTACCTAAGTTTTCTTCTATGTATTTTATGGTTTCAAGTCTTACATTTAAGTCTTTAATGCATTTCAAGTTCATTTTTGTGTACAGCATTAGTGATGTAGTTTCATTCTTTTGCATGTGGCTGTCTGCTTTTCCCAATGCTATATATTGAAGAGAATTTTCTTTCTTCAATGTATACTCTTTGCTCCTTAGTTGTAAGTTAACTCTGTGAGTGTTGCTTTATTTCTGAACTCTCAATTCTATTCCTTTGGTATATGTTTATATTTTTGTTCTAGTACCATACTGTTTGTTGTTTATAGATTTGTACTATAGTTTGAAGTCTGAGCATGTAATGCCACCACTTTTCCTATGTTTTTTTATCAGATTGTTTTGGGTATTTTGCATTTCTTGAGGTTTGATATGAATTTCAGTAATATTTGTTCTATTACTTTGAAGAATGCTATTGAAACTTTGATAGGAATTACATTGAATCTCAGTACTGCTTTTTTGGTGTCCCATCATACCATAATTTTTTTAGGTTATATTCTCATTTTCTTTTTTTTTTTAATTTCTTCCTTGATTTCCTCACTAACCCAATAGG